TGAGAAATACCACACGGTACATATATTAGGTCTTTAGGGAAATCGCTAAGTAGCGAAACACAAGTTAACACAAGAAAACACAAGTTAACACAAGAAAACACAAGTAAACACTAGAAAACACTAGTAAACACAAGCAAAAACAAGAAAACAGAAGTAAACACAAATAAACACAAGAAAACACAAATTAACATAAGGAAACACAAGTAAACACAAGTAAACACAAGTAAACACAAGTAAACACAAGTAAACACAAAAAAGCACAATTAACACAAGTAAACACAAGTAAACACAAGTAAACACAAGTAACCACAAGTAAGCACAAGAAAACACAAGTAAACACAAGTAAACACAAGTAAACACAGGTAAACACAAGTAAACACAAGAAAACACAAGTAAACACAAGTAAACACAAGTAACCACAAGTAAACACAAGAAAACACAAGTAAACACAAGTAAACACAGGTAAACACAAGTAAACACAAGAAAACACAAGTAAACACAAGAAGACACAAGTAAACACAAGAAAACACAAGTAAACACAATTGCAAAAATAAGAAAGCACAAGTAACACAAGTAAACATAAGTTAACACAAGTAAACAGAGGTAAACACAAGTGAACACAAGTAACCACAAGGAAACGCAAGAAAAGGAATTAATTGTTGTTTAAGAGGACTCTAAACAATAAGATAAAAATTCAAAGCTTCAAAAGCAATCTCAATATTTAAATCTCATTTACAAAAAGTAATATAAATTTAAAGCGCAATAAATTTTAATACAGTTTTGTGTTTTCATTGCTGCAAAAAAAACACAGAGGATACTTTTTCTAGAAGAAGATAAAAAAGTAAAGTATAGAAGAGATCTGAATTAGTCTAGAAGTAGATAGAAAAGAAGGATAGAAGAGTACTGAATTATTCTAGAATTAGATAGAAAAGAAGGATAGAAGAAACCTGAATTATTCTAGAAGTAGATAGAAAAGAAGGAAAGAAGAAAACTGAATTATTTTAGAAGTAGATAGAAAAGAAGGATAGAAGAAAACTGAATTATTCTAACCAACTTCATACAGTTTAATTTTATCTTTAAAGGGAGTGTTCGGGAAAATGAAATGGAGTTTTGGCTAAATCCGAAATAAATCTGAAATCGATCGCCACCAATTTTACTTCTTTTGCGTCTCAAATAAGACAATTTTTATAGAAACGTTTGTCGCTTACATAGATATGTTCAGAGAAATCCCGGAGTTTTTATATACATATATCAGAGCCTGCGATTTAAAAGCTTTGGCTCGAGCCGTATTTTCTTAAACCCGACTTTAAGGCCAAACCTTCACCCAACTCTAACGACAGCTTGTGTCACATGATTGACAGCTGCAAGATCTTCGGCTCGACTTTAGGAGTTAGGCTCAATGAAAATAAAACCGACCTTGATTGGTTTTAGTGAAGAATAAGGCTCAATGTTGTGTCTTGTTCTCATAAAAACTGGGAATGCGCCAATTCCTACCATAAAAATCCGCCAAATAGAATATTAAACCGGTTTTTAACTCAACTCTGTGGAAAATTATATGCATCTTTAATCCGAAAGCTCAAGCCGTAAATAAGGTCCAACGGCAGCTAAGACCCGAGCCGTATTTCCCCGAATTTTTTAAATCGCGGGCTCAGGATATCTAAATATTTACATATATCACGATATCTAAATATAAACGTAAATCATTAACTTAATTTAAAACTGATTTTATTCTAGACATATTGTTTGTTTTTTCGAGGATTTTGAATACTTAGTTTAGAAGATCTTTGCATCCTGATGGTTTAAACATTAGATATTTCAATTCATAATTTGAAATATCAAAGGTCTACGGCATTGGGTAAAGATATAGGGATAAGTGTGATTGACAAACGATTCTTACGATTTTCAAATTACAAAGGCAATAGATATAAGTAAAATTGTCGGTGATCGATTTCAGATCCCTCTTCTCATTTTTCAGGAACTTTTGCTTTAAACTTAAATTCTATTCCCTCATCTCTAGTTCACAGCTCATACTAAAATTTTGTGTTGGTGCGAGGAATAAAGTTTTTGATCTCAATAAATCCGATTTTATCTTCTTTTCAACGTTTTTGTTTTCCTTTAAATTTATTGTAGTTGGATAGAACACCGAGAAATTAGGAAGGAGAGCATCGTCTGCTGAAGAACCATGAAGCTTTGTTAGGGAACGGATTAGGGAGAAGAGAATATGGAATGGGAAATAGAAGTAGAGAAGAGAGGAGTAAAGAGGAGTAGAGGGGAGTAGAGAGGAGTAGAGAGGAGTAAAGAGGAGTAGAGAGGAGTAAAGAGGAGTAGAGGGGAGTAGAGAGGAGTAGAGTGGAATAGAAAATGTGTAGAGAAAAGTAGAGAAACGCAGAGAAAAGTAGAGAAAAGTAGAGAGTAGAGAGGAGTAGAAAATGTGTAGAGAAAAGTAGAGAAAAGTAGAAAATGTGTAGAGAAAAATAGAGAAACGTAGAGAGTAGTAGAGAGTAAAGAGGAGTAGAAAATGTGTAGAGAAAAGTAGAGAAAAGTAGAGAGTAGTAGAGGGTAGAGAGGAGTAGAAAATGTGTAGAGAAAAATAGAGAAACGTAGAGAGGTGTAGAGAGTAAAGAGGAGTAGAAAATGTGTAGAGAAAAATAGAGAAACGTAGAGAGTAGTAGAGAGTAGAGAGGAGTAGAAAATGTGTAGAGAAAAATAGAGAAACGTAGAGAGTAGTAGAGAAAAGAGTAGAAAGGAGTAAAGAGGAGTAGAGAGGAGTAGAAAGAATAGAGAAAATAATAGAGAGGAGTAAAGAGTAGTAGAGAGGAGTAAAGAGGGAGTAGAAAGGAATATAAAATGTGTAGAGTAAAGTATTGACAAGAAGAGAGGAAACGAAAATGAGCAGAGAAACGTAAGTGGAGAGTGGATTAGAGACGAGAAGAGGGAGAAAAAGCCAGTGGAAACATTCAAATTTAAGATAATTTTATAAACCCATTCTGATCTAATTTCTACCCCAACCTGAATCCTCCCTTCATACCGAATTTTGAAAAATAAATAGAAAATATTTTGTGGGAAAGCAAAGGTGGGTTTATTGAGTTTTCTCCCATAATTCCCCGTTATTGCTATTTCTATTCTATTTCTAGGTTTACTGTGGGCATTTTGCAGTGCTTGAAGGGAGACTGCAGGAATGAAGGATATCTTATACCAGACACGTTCTAGAGCCTTGCAAATGCATCCAATATCTTATCTAATGTAAAGTTAGTTAAAGTTTTTGTGTCAGGTTTAGTTTGGTAGAAAATAGAGTTCGATAAACAGTTTTCATATATATATATATATATATATATATATATATATATATATGTATATATATATATATATATATGTTGGAGTGGTGTCAGAAATTGAAGAAATACATGTCTAATTACGAGTGGGAGAGGATTCTCAATGATGAGAGAAAGAAGATGTTACTGGATTGTATTGATGGATGGACTCGCGTTTGATAATTACGAGGTAGAAGAGTTTTTCCAGGAATTTTTTAAACAATTCGCACATGAGAAGGATGAAGAAGGCAGGAAAATGGAATACATGTCCCGTACGCAGTCCAGGAATGAGAATGCCAGGAAATATTATATTGACAAGCTGAGATTGTGGGTTCAAGCGTAAGCTCCAGCCAGGAGAAGTTTAGTGGAGTTCAAGAATGTTACTGGGGCTGTACAATGCTGAGCTGAGGAAAACATTCTTGACTTTTATGCCTAAAGAGATGATGCATGAGAGCGAGATTAAAGCTGTCCTGGATCATCAACTGACGAATCTCAGGACCTGTAAACTCAACCCTAGAGCCCCTGCTCAGGACATGGCTGGACTGAGGAGTACATATGGCTATGAGAAGAATGGAAATGAGAGGCTGGATGGGATGCCCCCCCCCCCCCTAGAATTTAAAATATAAAATAAAAATATAATATAAAAGAGTTTGTTAATGCCAGAAATGAGTGGAAAATTCAAAACAAACCCCACTAAAATCAACAAGTTAATATTCATCATGATGGGAAGCCCCCACCCCAACTATTTTCGAATGTAAGAACCATTACCCCGACTGTTTATAAATACTTTGATCATTAAGCCCCGCTATAAATATCAAGGCCCCTACCCCAACTGTTTATGTAAAGAAGAATGATATAAATCTAGCGAAATTAATTACGTTTCTAGTCTGGAGGGTGGAAAGGCAAATTTAAAAATAAGAAAAATAAAAATTCTTTTTAAACTTGTTTTATATTTTTTCAGACAAAAAGCAAATATCATAACAGGAAATTGTTCTTGAAATAATTTGAAAATATCTCCAGAACACGAGAAATCCTGCCACCCCACCCTCGCTGACGGGGAAGCTATAGATCATATATAATATATATACTAGAGAACACACAAAAGAATGTTGCCACATGGATTTATCAACTATGATTACTTGAACTAGACTTATACAAAACATAATCATTATTCTTTATAACATCTTTATACATAAAAATTGTTTACAGTAATTTTTTCATTATATTTTAATGCACTTAATCTTAATTTAATCTTGGAATTATTTTTTTATTTTTTCATCAAGATAAAAGAGCAGTAATTTTATGTAAAAAAAACAATGTAAATCGATATCTAGACAGAAGTTTGTCTTTTAGATTTTATAAAATCGAGAAACCGGTTTCCGCAGCATGATACCAGATTCTTTAGTCATAAACCAGATTTTAAAGGCAGATACTATAATATTCAGAAGTCAGATACCAGATTTTGAATGTAGATACTATAATATTCAGAAGTCAGATACCAGATTTTGAAGGCAGATACTATAATATTCAGAAGTCAGATGCCAAATTTTGAAGTCGGATGCTATAGATTCGGGAGTCATATACCAGATTCCGAGGTCAGACACTTGATTCAGGACTCATATACCAGATCCTAAAGTCAGATACCCTATTCTGGAGTCAGATACCAGATTCTTAAGTCAAAATCCAGTTCTGAAGGCAGATACTATATTCCAAAGTCAGACACCAGATTCTGAAGTCAGATACTTGATTCAGGAGTCAGATACCAGATTCTGAAGTCAGATGCAAAATTCAGGAGTCAGATACCAGATTCTGGAGTCAGATACTACATTTTGAAGTAAGATATCCTATTCTGGAGTCAGATACCAGACTCTGAAGGAAGATACCCTATTCTGTATTCGAATACCTTATTCCAGGATTAATTTACCAGATTTTGAAGTAGATTAATAAATTCTTGAGTGAGATACCAGATTCTGGAGTTAGATACCATGTTTTCGAGTAAGATACTAGATCCTGAAGTCAGATACCAGATTTTTCGGTCAAATACCAGATTCTACAGATACCAGATAAAGATTAAGCAGCGACATACCAGATTTCGTTTCTTCTGTTCCACCAATTAAAGGGTGCATCATATCCGACCCTAAAATACCTAAACAAAAAAATATTCAAAATTTTGTAAAATGAACTCTTGGAGATTAAAGATGTGAGTGAGAGTAAATGAAGAATACTCGATTTTTGTCACTTTTTATAATCTACAATATTTCTAAGATGAAGGAATGTAAAATATGATAAAACACAAATCTAAGAATCAAAATACAGAAATTGAAAGAAACCCGTTGAAACCTCTGAAAGGAAGAAAAGAGGCGGAACCGAGGTTTAAAGGAACTGTTGACGATATTTCATGTTGGAGTTACATACGTAATGTAAACAAGTTTACGATGTGCGCTGCTTAACTCGTCTAAACAAAAAATTAATATAACCTTGTTTTACTTTCTAAAAATTAATCTTTTTAATTACGGTTCCTCTATTCAAGGGACTTTTAAAGTTTGAATCAGAAACAAACAAGGAAATTGACAAATTTTATCTCTTTTAAGGATAAAAAACATTGATTTCTTTTTCGACTTTAATCAAATAAAGGTTTAACTATATCTCCCTCTCCCTAGTTACATTACTCCTTGGTAAACCCATATCTTCCTCTCCATAGTTACATTACTCCTTGGTAAACCCATATCTCCCTCTCCATAGCTACATTACTCCTTGGTAAACCCATATCTCCCTCTCCATAGCTATATTACTCCTTGGTAAACCCATATCTCCCTCTCCATAGCTATATTACTCCTTGGTAAACCCATATCTCCATCTCCATAGTTACATTACTCCTTGGTAAACCCATATCTCCCTCTCCATAGTTACATTACTCCTTGGTAAACCCATATATCCCTCTCCATAGTTACATTTCTCCTTGGTAAACCCATATCTCCCTCTCCATAGTTACATTACTCCTTGGTAAACCCATATCTCCCTATAGAAACATATCTCTAGTCTTACTTCCTGAACACAGATAAATAGATAGAAACACATCTCTAGTCTTACTTCCTTAATACGTATTTATAGAGCGGAAAAACATTTCTACTCTTACTTCCTGAAAATAAGGAAAGCGTCATTATGTTTTACTTCCTACACTTGTATAATCATATAGGATGTCAAATATCAAAAGATATTCTATACCTCGCCGTTTATAGCAACTGATGTTGCGACAGGAACAGTCATCGCCATTTTTCTCTCGTCAGTATTCGCGCCCTGAATTTAGAAGAGAATTAATGTCGTCTTTCTTCTATTTTTTTCTTAGCAATGCTAGATACAGTACAGTGATTGTCATGAATAACACAAATATGAATGAGTTTCTACCCTATAAATCTTAAATGTTTCATAAAATGAGACGTAGATATGTTTAACTATTTACGTTTCATTTAATTGAAATTAGAGCAGAATTTATTAATATCATCAGTAAGAAAAGTACAGACCATCTTTAAGAAATCCTAATTACACAGGGCAATATTACCTTTGGAGGTAATCATTATAAAATTATTTTCGCTATCTTAATATATTTGAATAATTTCCAGAATATTCTCCCATTATCCTTTACCTGGATATAGTTGAATAATTTCCAGAACATTCTCCCATTATCATTTACCTGGATATAGTTGAATAATTTCCAGAACATTCTCCCAATATCCTTTACCTGGATATAGTTGAATAAATTCCAGAATATTCTCCCATTATCCTTTACCTGGATATAGTTGAATAATTTCCAGAATATTCTCCCATTATACTTTACCTGGATATAGTTGAATAATTTCCAGAATATTCTCCCATTATCCTTTATTGGATATAGTTGAATAATTTCCAGAACATTCTCCCATTATCCTTTACCTGGATATAGTTGAAAAATTTCCAGAACTTTCTCCCATTATCCTTTACCTGGATATAGTTAAACAATTTCCAGAACATTCTCCCATTATCATCTGAATCCTGCTCCACCTGTTCTCCAGTACACGCCCATTTTCTAGCCGGGTACACACGCTTCTCAATCTAAAGACAATTGGTTCAATTCGTCAGCCTTGTTATAGCTGTGAATTAGCTATGACTTCCTTGCCTAGTTGGCTGGGAAATCGTAGCTAAATTATAGCTAGAGAATGTTTAATGAATCGGATAATTATCACTAAAAACTCACTATAACTATCACTATAACTATCACTAAAATTCAGGGAACATACAGTGAACATACAGGGAACATACAAGGAACATACAGGGAACATACAGGGAACATACAGGGAACATACAAGGAACATACAAGGAACATACAGGGAACATACAGGGAACATACAGGGAACATACAGGGAACATACAAGGAACATACAAGGAACATACAAGGAACAAACAGGAAACATACAGGGAACATACAGGGAACATACAGGGAACATACAGGGAACATACAAGGAACATACAAGGAACATACAGGGAACATACAGGGAACATACAAGGAACATACAAGGAACATACAGGGAACTTACAGGGAACATACAAGGAACATACAAGGAACAAACAGGGAACATACAGGGAACATACAGGGAACATGCTTGGAACATACAGAGAACAAAGTGCAATTTTATGTGTTATTTATTTTCTGTTTTACATTTTTTTATTTAATCTTGGAAAACATGTCAACTAATGTGAGAAAATTTTGTTTTCCTTGTTATAATTGACAATTGTTACATCGTGTATAATTGGTCCATTTCTCTGTTGCCACCTATTGTACTTGATAATCTATTTCTCTGTTGCCACCTATTGTACTTGATAATCTATTTCTCTGTTGCCACCTATTGTACTTGATAATCTATTTGGTTCAATGTACCTTTACCGTAGGAAAGCTAAGGCTATAAAATTATTACTTTTATTAAAAACTTACTTCATCAAATGTTTGTTCTACAGTGTACGGTGCCTCCTCATTGTCTGGTTCAACAAACAAACTAAAGGAAGAGCTTAATAATTTTCTTTGAACCAGTTTGCTTACTGAAGGGTGTTCCAATAAACATGGGAATTCATTGACAACTTTTATATCGTCGTCGATCCATGAGGCATTTTTTCATGAACACAATTACTGCAGTATTCCAGCTTAAACATCTAATATCAAAAACGCCTGGTCTTGAGACTTTCAAAATGTGGTCTGCCATTTTTGTATCTTCAAAATTGACGGAAGTATTGCAAAATTTGAACAAATTTCAATTTATTTAATAAATCAAAATTGTCTCAATATCTTTGTCGTTACTTTTATTTTCTTTGCCATCCATTCAATATCAGAAATCAAAGACGACTTTCAAGTAGTCTCTGAATTCCCATGTTTATTGGGACACCCTGGAGAACAATAAGAATAGAACTTCTTATCATGACGGTATAACTATTAAGTGCTAGGTTGTCAAAAAAAACTGATTATCGTTGGAAAAACCTAAATATATAGTTTTCCTATACCATATTATATCTATGTACATATGACAAGTCCAACAAAAACAACTCGTAAATCATAAAACAAATTATTATCGAAGAGTTATAAAAGCAGTAAAATGTTTTGAACCTCTTGTATATAACCAAAAAGATTAAACTAATATCAAAACTAGAGGAGCTACGAGGTCACAAAGTCGCAAGTAATCTCGCATAAATTTGTACTTCTCTTCTATTAAGAGCGTGGGGGGATTTTTTCATGTATTAATGAATACTATTAGCAATAATAAAGTCAAAGAATTTCAATACTCTCTAAAAACAACCATATCCACTATTTTTGCTTGGTAAATCTGTATTCTTTCTCTCATGTGTCATGTTTTTTAGATATTTTTCAGCATATAGTAGAGAAATGAATTCTCGTATAGTTAATGGAATTCTAATCTGTAATAACACAGATATAGTTTTAAAAGTTTTTTCAAGTTTTTAAGTCTTATTCTTTGAGAACAGATAAGAATTATTTTTATGGGAATTAATTACCTGACTATGTTCCTCACAATTTGGCTGGCAGACTCAGACTAAAAAAAAAGGGAAAAGTTTGAAAAGTAAAATAGATGACTGCAATGCCATCATCTATTTGATAATTTTGAATGTACAGGGTGTCCCAATAAACATGGGAATTCAGTGACGAATTAGATATCGTCTTTATAAATAATTCTTTGATTTTATATACTGATACCAACTGAGAAAGCTGTAATCTGTAAAAGTTTCGTCTGCTATTTAACATTGTGTTTTTGTTTATGTTTTGACTGCATACGGTTGTACTTAGTAAAACAAGCAAATTGCAGTATACAAACAGAGTAAACTTGTCCGTCATCATTGTTCATCTTGCGGAGACATTATAGACACATCTTACACATCTTTTACCCTTTTCATAAAATAGACTCTAGCAGACATAATAATGTTATGGCTTTTGAAATTAGGTATTACATTGCTTATTCATAACAAAGACAATATCAAATTCGTCACTGAATTCCCATGTTTTTTGGGACACCCTGTAGTTTAGCTCTGAAAAAAACTAGAATAAGGACCATTAATGTTAAAAATAATTATTTTGAGGACGTTTTGAAAATTTATGTAGAGGGTGTAAGGGCGTAAACAGGGGGGGGGCAGAACCCAGAGCAATCACACTTTTAAAATCTGAAACTGAAGATTGAAGAACATAAAAAAAATTGGTTTGCTGTATTTTTTCTGTTAGTCTTGTTTGAAAGAGAGATAAAGTAGCACTTGTAAGGTAGGACTATATACCTATAAGTATACAAAAAGCCAAATGTTTTGAATTTGCAGTTCAAATTTGCCCCCCCCCCCCCCAAGATTTATTTCTGTTTACGCCGTTTTTCATATATTTAGCTTCAGCTGCATACATAGAGAATTTCTCTATGGCTGCATATTTTCCCCTCTCGCCCCTTCCTAGAGTTGTGTTTAGGAATAAAAGTCGACCTACAAATAGGTTTTTCTCTCAAAAAAACTGAAAGTTTCACTAAGTGGTAGAAGAAAAAAATTACCGCGGCTGGTGCTGCAGTAGCAGCGGTGAAAAGTAGAACTAACAAGAATATTCCTCTCATAATCAAGGTTTATGGTGAACTCCTGAAAAATGTTCTAAATCTCAAACATGTGTTGTATTGGATTCATTTTATATAATATTACTCATTACAACTCACTCATAACAATTTTAGAACAAGTTAAACAAAAATTTGTTTTGAATAATAGCGCCATGATTTGTTTAATTGAAATATTTTTCCTTGATGTTAAAGAAACTTAATTTTTAAAACTTCCGCTGTGAATATAAATATAATAATCGCAGATGTGGTGTGTTGTATGTCCATAACAAAATGGCGTTCATGCGCACATTCATTTTGCTTAAAATATGAATAATAAACATTATTTTCAAAAAGAATTCTATATCTTTATCCATGAGATCAGAAGTTATCTATTAATTAAACGTTTACAATAATTTTTCTTATATTTCTTAAAGGGACTGTCGAGTGTCAATTTCTGATAAATTTAAAGATTTAAAAAGTTTCCTTAAAAATTCGTTTTAAGATAGAAAACCAGCAATATCTTCTTCAATGCTGCTTGAATAAATATTCAACGGGTACCCATGTAAATTGGACATGCCACTCTACTGAAAGGTCACTTGAACTTTAGTCTACATTCCCTTTAAGTATGAACAATACACTCGAAAAAAACCTTTTAACGTTGATCTTATCATTGGAATGTCACCGTCGTCAATCGTTTAGACCTAAATTTAAATGTAAGTTCTTAAAAAACATAAAACAAACAAGAACAATCTGAGCTACAGCTTATTTTGAAACACGCTGTCTTTGTATTTTGTAATATCTAAAATATCGGAGTTATGTAAAAAATTGAGTTACGAAGTTGCAATTGCATTAATTATTTTACTAAAAAAACACATCTGTATAGCTTCAATATAAAAACAAGCTCAATCTAGATATACAGTGGGAACCAGAAAACTGCGGAATCTAGATATACAGTGGGAACCAGAAAACAGCGGAATCTAGATATACAGTGGGAACCAGAAAACAGCGGAATCTAGATATACAGTGGGAACCAGAAAATAGCGGAATCTAGATATACAGTGGGAACCAGAAAATAGCGGAATCTAGATATACAGTGGGAACCAGAAAACAGATGAATCTAGATATACAGTGGGAACCAGAAAAAAGCGGAATCTAGATATAAAGTGGGAACCATAAAACAGCGGAATCTAGATATACAATGGGAACCATAAAACAGCTGAATCTAGATAAACAATGGGAACCAAAAAATAGCGGAATCTAGATATACAATGGGAACCAGAAAACAGCGGAATCTAGATATACAAAGGGAACCAGATAACAGCGGAATCTAGATATACAATGGGAACCATAAAACAGCTAAACAATGGGAACCAGAAAATAGCGGAATCTAGATATACAGTGGGAACCAGAAAACAGATGAATCTAGATATACAATGGGAACCAGAAAAAGCGGAATCTAGTTATACAGTGGGAACCAGAAAACAGCGGAATCTAGATATACAGTGGGAACCAGAAAATAGCGGAATCTAGATATACAGTGGGAACCAGAAAATAGCGGAATCTAGATATACAGTGGGAACCAGAAAAAATCGGAATCTAGATATACAGTGGGAACCAGAAAACAGCAGAATCTAGATATACAATGGGAACCAGAAAATAGCGGAATCTAAATATACAATGGGAACCAGAAAATAGCGGAATCTAGATATACAGTGGGAACCAGAAAACAGCGCGCGGAATCTGAATATACAGTGGGAACCAGAAAATAGCGGAATCTAGATATACAGTGGGAACCAGAAAATAGCGGAATCTAGATATACAGTGGGAACCAGAAAATAGCGGAATCTAGATATACAGTGGGAACCAGAAAAAATCGGAATCTAGATATACAGTGGGAACCAGAAAACAGCAGAATCTAGATATACAATGGGAACCAGAAAATAGCGGAATCTAGATATACAATGGGAACCAAAAAATATCGGAATCCAGATGTACAATGGAAACCAGAAAACAGCGGAATCTAAATATACAGTGGGAACCAGAAAATAGCGGAATCTAGATATACAATGGGAACCATAAAACAGCGGAATCTAGATATACAGTGGGAACCAAAAAACAGAGAAACTAGATATACAGTAGGAACCAGAAAACAGAGGAATCTAGATATACAGCGCGAACCAGAAAATAGCGGAATCTAGATATACAATGGGAACCAGAAAACAAAGAAATCTAGATATACAGTGGGAACCAGAAAAAAGCGGAATCTAGATATACAGTGGGAACCAGAAAACAGCGGAATCTAGATATACAATGGGAACCAGAAAACAGCGGAATCTAGAAATACAGTGGGAACCAGAAAAAGCGGAATCTAGATATACAATGGGAACCAGAAAACAGCGGAATCTAGATATACAATGGGAACCAGAAAATAGCGGAATCTAGATATACAATTGGAACCAGAAAACAGCGGAATCTAGATATACAATGGGAACCAGAAAACAGAGGAATCTAGATATACAATGGTAACCAGAAAATAGCGGAATCTAGTTATACAATGGGAACCAGAAAACAGCGGAATCTGGATATACAATGAGAACCAGAAAATAGCGGAATCTAGATATACAGTGGGAACCAGAAAACAGAGGAATCTTGATATACAGTGGGAACCAGAAAACAGAGGAATCTAGATATACAGTGGGAACCAGAAAATAGCGGAATTCGTGTCGTCTTCGTTTTCTTATATTTTAAAAATATCGAAAAGAATTTCACATTTTTTTGCAACTGAGTAAATTTTAAAAAAGTGCCACGAACATTTTAAAATATAAAATTTTTAATTAATTTTATCAAGTAAAATAAGATTAAAAATGTTTTCTGGTTCTTACAGTGAAAAGTATGACCTCTCATTGAAATAGTCGCTAGCATGAACGATTCTAAACCCTCGTCTGAGCATAAATGTAAAAAAAACTTTTTTTTTCTATTTTGAAAATTGATAGTTTCAAATTGTGGTTACAATGTTGATCGGTAACAACTACATTTTTGGTAAATCAAAAATTTAATTTACCCACGCAGGTTCCCTCCACGACACTTGGTCTTGGGAACCCTTGGTAAAGTAAAATTCCCTTAACTTTCCCGTGAAGTTGATGTCAATATTTAATAATTTTTTTATTATTTTAAACTTTTTGGTTCCAATTTTTAAAAGTGTGCATCGCCGCCATCTTTAATTCATTAATTAATTCCATGAAAAACAAATAGAAACATAAATTATCAAAGCAGATTAATTAATATGTAAATGAGTTCCAACAGGCCGGATTTAGAATTTAGAATTATAAACTGAATAATCGATTATTTATAATAAAAAGCAGTTCTTTAGATTGTTATTTAGCTTTAACTTTTTCAATTTTTAATATATTTAGATGTAGAAGAGAGAAGATGAGAGTTCTAGGTCCTGTAGATTCTCTAGGTCTTTGTAAGGGTTGTTATGACGAGTTCTAGGTCCTGTTGGTTCTCTAGGTCTCTGTATGGGTTGCTATGACGAGTTCTAGGTCCTGTTGGTTCTCTAGGTCTCTGTAAGGGTTGATGTGACGAGTTCTAGGTCCTGTTGGTTCTCAAGGTCTCTGTAAGGATTAATATGACAAGTTCTAGGTCCTGTTGGCTCTCTAGGTCTCTGTAAGGGTTGTTATGTCGAGTTCTAGGTCCTGTTGGTTCTCAAGGTCTCTGTAAGGGTTTATATGACGAGTTCTAGGTCCTGTTGGTTCTCTAGGTCTCTGTAAGGGTTGATATGACGAGTTCTAGGTCCTGTTGGTTCTCAAGGTCTCTGTAAGGGTTGATATGACGAGTTCTAGGTCCTGTTAGTTCTCATGGTCTCTGTAAGTTGTATAAAGAGAAAATGAGAGTGGATCAGTTTTTACTCTTCAACTGCAGTATTAAATCATTCCTAGTTAGAGTTCAGACTAATATTAATATAAGTCGTAAGAGGGATGGGATAAGAAAAAGAAGGTTTTTATAAGAAAAAGAGAAGGTTAAAATAAAAAAGAGAAGGATAAGACATAAATAAGAGAAGGTTAAGATATAAAAAAGAGAAGGATGAAGTATGAAAAAGAGAAGGTTAAGATATAAGAAAAGGAGAATGATTAGATATGAAAAAGAGAAGGATGAGATATGAAAAAGATTAGGATGAGATATGAAAAAGAGAAGGTTAATATATAAAAAAAGGGGTTGATGAGATATGAAAAAGTGGGGGGAAGATCAGAAAACGATAAATGAGGGGTAAGAAAAAAAGAGAGGGAAGGGAGGGGTAAAAAGAAGTTAAATAGGGGAAAGATTGCGAGAGAGGGGGAAGGTAAGGGTAAGAAAACGTAAAATGTGGGGTAAGAAAGAAAGAGGGGAAGGAGGGGTAAGAATACGATAAATAAGGAGTAAGAAAGAGAAAGAGGGGGGAAAGGGAGGGGTAAGAAAGCGATAAATGAGGGGTAACAAAGAGAGAGAGGGGGGTAAGGGAGTGAGGACTAAGAAAGGATAAATGAAGGGTAATAAAGAGAGATGAGGAGCTATAGTAAAATCTTGCATAATTAAAAGAAGAATATAATTTACATTTGATTTGTGAGTTCTTGTTACAGATGAATTTGACAGAATTGAAGGAAGGGAGTGGGCACGGTAAATTAGAGGTCTTGCTTAAATTTCCACTTAATTTTAATTAAAAAACCCATAAAATGTAGATTTTTCGTATTGGCTACAGTGGTAGGCGATTATATCAGTACAATGAAGACGACCTTTTTGTTTGAGGATTGATTGTTGACAATATAAGTTTACAAGTAACCAAAGAGAAGATTTGTTAACCGACAGCTTCTCTTTGTTTAAATAAGAGATCCAAATATTGACTAAAAATATTCCGATAGGAACAGGATTCACTTAATTCGATGTATTTAGTTTTGCGTGCTAGGGGGGAGGGAATCCGGGGGGGGGGTGTAATTAGTAAAACAATTAATTTCTCATTTAAAGTTTGAACAGACCAAGTTATTGAATAATCAGATAATCAGATAATGAAATTCAGGTATCTTCAGAAATTACAATT